AACCACCAAACCAGAAGAATTTGTTACAAACAGTAAGGATATTGCACATTTGTTCAATTCTTACTTTGTTAACATTGGCCCAAAGCTTGCTTCGGAGATTACCTGTAACACCAATTTTAATGACTACCTTGGCAACAGACAATCAGAGTCATTTTTCTTTCGCCCTGTCTGTGCACACGATGTCTTAAATGAAATTGACAAATTTGACATTCGTAAATCCGTTGGTTATGACGGTATTCACCCAAAACTTGTGAAAGTGGCTGCTGAATATATTGCCGAACCAATCGCCTATATTATAAATTGTTCCTTGTCGAAACTGAAAAAAGCACGGGTGACTCCCATTTTCAAGAAAGGGTGTGCTTATGAAGTTGGAAACTACAGGCCGATTTCCGTTTTACCTGTCTTCAGCAAACTATTCGAATCATTCGCCAATAAACAGTTGTGTGCCTTTATGGACAAATTTAAAATTCTTTCAGAAAATCAGTACGGGTTCCGAAAGCAATATAGCACTAAACTCGCCTTAGCTGATCTCACAGCTGAAATCTCAAAAAGAATAGATGAAGGTTTTGTCACACTTGGTGCTTTTATAGATTTGAGAAAAGCTTTCGATACCATTGATCACAGTATTTTGCTAGCTAAACTACAACAATATGGGATTAGAGGGTCAACTTTGAACTGGTTTAAAACTTTTTTGGACGGTCGGCAACAATATGTCAGTACTAAAAACAATGATTCTGACTGTGAAACTATTTCCACAGGGGTACCACAAGGGTCAATCCTAGGCCCTCTTCTTTTTTTAGTTTATATTAATGACATTTCTCGATCATCCCCCCTTTTTTCATTCAGACTATTTGCTGATGACACCAGTCTATTTTATTCCGTAAAAGACCGTTCTGTAAACCTTCACACACTTAATATTGAATTAAATAAAGTTGCTACCTGGTGTAAATCAAATAAATTAACTATAAACATTGACAAAACAAATTTCATGATTTTTCAGACAGCTCAAAGAAAAACAACTATTGAGGGCGTATTATCAATTGATGATTTGTCATTAAGAATGGTGTCGTCAGCTGTTTATTTAGGTGTCACGCTTGACTCAACACTTTGTTGGAGACCCCATATCGATAACATTGTTAAAAAAATCAGTAAAACAATTGGGATAATCTCATACTTGAGGCATTATTTACCAAAATCCATTATGATATTACATTACAACTCGTTGATTCTCCCACACATTGCTTATTGTATAGAAATATGGGGACACACTTTTAGCACATATATTGATCCAATTTTTAAATTACAAAAAAAGTTTGTCAGATTAATTTCTTTCTCTCCTTTTCGAGCAAGTACCACACCACTTTTCCTGCAACTTGGCATTCTTGATGTGTATAAATTATGTAAGTACAATACATGTTTATTTGCATACGATTTGAAAAATGGCCGCCATGCACACTCTCTGGATCATTACGCCTTATCAATATCACATCCATACCATACACGATCAGTAACCTCTGAGAAACTTGCCACACCACAAATTAATTTAAGTTCAACTAAGAAAAGTCTGACATTTTCTCTTGTAAAACATTGGAATGAGCTCCCAACTTCGTAAAATATTACGTTACGAAACTCGTTCAAAATGGCATTAAAAAATATCGTTTAACTAATGTATAAATACTTGCATTATTGCAGTATATGTATTAGTATTGTATATTTTTGTTTTCTTCATTATTATTATTTATGAGAGTTGTAGTCTATTTACTTACTTAATTATGTATGTATTTATTTATTTATTTATTTATTTTTAACTACTTAACAATATAATTTGTTTTGTGTATCACTATTCACAACAACGTATATTTTAACAGTTGAGTATGGTTTTGGGGCCAGGGACTAGATTAGTTCTGCTAGAACTACCTCTCTGGTCCCCACCAGGAATAATATATATATTTAATATTCATTCAGATAAAGTTCCCTGTACAATTGTCTCTTTTTTCTGGTGAAATAAATCTATTCTATTCTATTCTATAGGTTATGTGAACATCATTCTCTTCCAACAAATACGCTGTACATGTGATATACAATCAATACCCGCAAAATACGTAACAAAATCAAACAAAACTCTGCAAGGCAAAACCCACGAATCTCAATTTTTTTAGGTTAACGAACTGCACAATCGCAGACCAAATGAATCAAAGCGCGTAACTGAGGGCGCTGGTGAAACACACGGCAAGCGCGACCAAAAATCACGCGAAATCGCTACAAAATTCTAGTTTTTCTCTCCAATAAGATAGTTAAATAGTGAACGCAAACCTGGCAAACTAATCAGTTCATGAATATTGCCACATATCGTGTTCCCTTAACAAGTTATTGGCGTACATCAGGTAAATTCAGGAATAAGGTACCCGGATGGAGATAGACATACGAGTATGACAGCAGGTCGATACACGAATATCTCTACCTGTAATACGCGATTCTGATTGGCTGTCATGGTCATGAGGTATAACAACACACAGTAGCAACTTCCTGTAGAGTGTTAACATAAATAAATCCAAATAATTGGGACAAGTTAAATTAGAAAACAAGGCTTTCTAATTGTATCAACATTACATATATGTTTTCTTGATTGTTGTCATTTTCATCATAAGAACAATAACATTCACAATAAAACATGAATTCCGGCTCTGAGGTGATGCCATTCTGAGGTTATCATTGGTTGGGTGATTGATTAATGGCAGTAAGATTGTGTATTGTGTACGGTCAGTGATTAGACAGAGCATGTATGATAGATAGGTGTTAGATACATATTAGGTACTTTCGAAGAAGTGTTTATTATATAACCAAAACTTTAAACTCGTATTCAAATATACACATTCAATTTGAGCAAAGAAATTGCCAGCAATATACACTATGATGCATGTATATCACCATGAACACACTCTATCTACGTTTGGGCGTAGATCAACATTTCCGATAAGAGTTCTTCTTTTTTGTCGGATAACAAAAAAATGGTGGTGTTAGATTAGAAAACCCTAAATGATTATCGTTGGCACTGTTCCGAGGCTTTGAACATATCAGAGATATTTGAAGAATATGATGTGCTTGACATTGGAGGGAATTATTCGACATGATTATTTACATTAGTCAACTAACTAAACAAAAGAAATTAATACTTACACTTATTTGTAAAATCGATGTCCCTGCAGGTGAATTTTCGTATACAGCACCCCTGTATTCGTCTTGAGTAAAGTTTGGAGGATTGTCATTCATATCCATGACATGAATCGTCACATCTACTGTACTGCTCAGATTTTCTACTGATAAATCGTAAGCTAATACCTGGTAGTTAAAAATTTAAATGTTGGTAACATGAAATTCACTTGTTTCTGTTTACCGTATAGTAGATTGCAAGATGTGGCACTCGTGCAAAATAAAATATCTTGTGATAAGTTACTTTCGTACATCGATTAGCGAATGGATTTAGCAGCTTTATTTTCACTTATCGGAAGCTTATTTAACATCAATAAAACTAGATATATACATGAAAACATGAATATAGAATTAAGCATTGTACATCCATATCCTGTGGTTTACTCTCATTTATCAATAAAAACTATATTTTATAATTATTACATATACTAACCTGAAAATTAAACTGTTGAACACTTTCAAAATCCAAATAATCAGGGTTTCGCACTTCGATAACAGCATGGGTTGAAAACAAAGCTCTGTCTGGTCTCACATAAAATGCTTCACTTGCCATATGATTGTTAATAATTTCGAGTTTGAAAGACGCCATTTGTCTAGTCTTTGTTACAAAAAAATATATAATCAAATTTTGTCATCGTGCTAATATTTCACAAGGCTCATCAATGTATTTGTGTGGTTTTGGTGAAGATTTGATAACAATCAAACTTCATACTATATGGTCATTAGGTAATTAACTCTCACATTATTACTTCTAAAAGTGACTCACATGAATCGAACATTATTCATTTAGCGGGTGGACACATTTTTAGTGGTCAGTTTGATTAACAAATCCCTCTTCATACAACTATTCACAGCATTAGAAGTCAGGTCTTGTGTTGTTACCAATAATACTAAACCATATTATTGACTTACATTGAACTTTTATTGTAAAATACCAAAATTATTTATGATATGTAGCAGTAAATGGCCTCAAAGTGACAGAGTGAAAACGTATAGGTGAAATGAACACATGCAAAAAGGTATATTGTGAATAAGTTACAACATTAAATTGCATTGCAAATATAGAATTGTTGACAGCGTATGCAGAGTAAGCGACGAGGAACTCGGCGAAGAAATATCTACACGAATATATTACATCGATCAAATGGCGTACTATGTATTAAGATTATTATGATTTTGTGTGACGTATGCAACTTATCGTTGACATATCATCGCTGATTATCGACAAATACTTACAGAATCAGTATCTTTAACAATCAGTACGATGTTATGTATTATACGGTCGATTTGAGAGTTTTCCTGAATGCTCCCATTGTAGTAAGACTGATCGAAATATGGCGACCTGTCGTTTTCATCCAAAACAAGAATATTAACTCCGGTAAATGTTGTAATATCGCTTAGAGGTTGGTTATAATGGTCAACTTCTGTTGCCTGTAAACAAATCATATTAGTGTCATAATTCAAGACATCGTGGTAATTCAATGTAATACAATGCAGTGTAATCATTGTCTACATACTATGTAATCATTATGCCAGTAATTGGATTAGTAATCAATTAACATGTTTCCATACTATGTAATCAATATTCTTGTAATTTGATTAATCCTTGCCAGTATTTTTATTTTTTACTAAAGCTTCTCCGTGCAAAGTTATTGACACCCGTTTTAATTGACTTAAGGTAGAGATGCAGGTTCGTGGGTACTAGGGAGTAATTTTTTTTTTCTTTGCTTTTTATTATCTATATATGCTTAGCAAGATTTAGCAAGATTTAGCAAGGCTGTACATAAATAATAAAAAAGAAACATGGTGAAAACAAGAAATGACGGGATCTCCATAATATGCACTATATTTAACTTTTAACAAAACGATAATGCATTTAAATTTGGAACTGTTACAGCAATTTTCATTATGAGCATTAGCAAACTTCTTACTGAGTGAATTGTTATGCAAATTAGCAATTATCTCAGCTTCTTTTTAGTGTACATTCCAGAACTTTAAAAAAAATAGCTCCTAGACGCTTTGACCTTTTGTTTTGAAATTTTCACAAATGATTGACAATGTGTTTATCTTCAAAACGCCGTCGGGGCATTGTTTTTGGTTGAACAGTGTTACAACAATCGTACAGACAACTAGCCGGGGTGTTAATTTATGCATAAACTTGAAGTAGTGAAATTTGGGTTGCTGCCCTGCAAAATTGACAACTGGTAGACAGTTTTCAAGACGGCACTTTTTTCATAGTACCAATAAACCAATTTTGACAGGAAACGGGAGCATGGTTTAGACGCTATTTTTATGCAACTTTTGACCAAAAAAGCACATTTTTGTGCATATTTCTAACTACAGTGTCCATAACAAAAAAAAAAATACTAACAAAGTTTTAAAATTCTTACAATAAGCTTTCCGAAAATGTATAGTTTTGTAGACATGGGAGGTCATCTTGGTTTCCTAATTAACTAATTAAAATACCTGTCAGGTAAACTGCATCTCTACCTTAAATAAACTTATTATGAGTAGTTATACAAACCAGTATATCCCAAATCCGTAAATTCATTGTTGGATACAAATATAAATATATCTTAGCTCGTCCTATTGTGATTAACAATTATGTTTGTTATGAGCAGCGATGTGTAATGCAATTGATTACGGGGCTCTATGTTTTGCCGAAAATGCACCTTGTTGTATTGTTAAAGAGAAAGAGAAAGAGGGAAACCTGCTAAACGTGCTATTCAATGCAAGTTTCATAATACCATATGTAATAATTCTTGTGTAATGGGAACAATTATACACAAAACAGAACAGACAATGTGCTACTAACATTGTTCTTGAATGTGTGTGAAGGTTTGAAATACTCACAGTCAAGTTGAATGTCACGATCCCACCAATCTCTACAGCTTCCCGATCAAGCGGAACTGAAGTATATATAATACCTTTACCACTGTTGTCTATAGTTTCAACCCAAAACAAATCTGCCTCATTTTGTCCATCTGTAATTAAAATAGATTCAATACAAAAATAAGTGTGTTGCAGTGATTTGGTTCTAAACAGGAACTAAATGCTTTTCTACCCCTGAAAATACAAATACACTAGTATAATTAGCCCAGTGGTAAATAAACTTTGATTTACATACACAAATGAACTCAATATTTCAAAAATATCCTTATTTTTATCACACATTATCCCCATTAATTTTAACGTTTGGTGAAAAGAATATAATAGTAGAAAATACCAAAAAACAATACTGTATTGTTGTTGAAGTTTTAGCAGCTCCCCACTTGTTATCATAACATACATTCTACTACTTGAGTGTACACATGCCATGATTTACACATGTGTAAAAAGCAAACTTTATTATATACAACCAAATTGTACCACAATTGTATTATGTACATATAATGAATAATTACATATCATTTGCTTGTGCCAATAGATGCACATAAGGCTTAAGGCCAGGTTATTTATGTGTGAGTTCTTTCTCATCCAATAATGCAATGGGGCGCAACATAAGAGATCAACCCACGAGTTAACAAAATTAGTGTTATCAATGTCATTGACATATTGGTTGGCAACCATTTTTTTCTCGTGGAGGTCTTGTAGTGCTGTAGTGCAACTTTTACACAGATTTACAGGAGTCCATGGCAACACTGCAGTTTTACATGTGCCACTTACCAGCCTTACATGTGCTTTATCTTGACAATAATTTACTCAAGACTGGGGCCTTGTTGTGATTTTATTGATTTGACTTTCGATGCTGAAGATACTCTGAGAGCAATGCATTGCGCTCCAGTGTCAGCATTTGACTGCCATACATATTGGGTTTCCCTCAAGTTCAGTTGAACGCTGATTTCGTTTGGCAGAAAAAAATATTAGTCGTACAGTAAGTCATACTGTCACTAAGTTAAGTTGGTATGGTTTTTGTACATAATGTAATGGAATGCATAAGGGGTAGGAGACAGACATTTCTGCCAATCAACTGTTCAAGTTGACTCAGCAGCTGTACCAGCAAAAGCGGGAACAATTCTAAATTTAGTTTACATACAAATAATGATTTGGCATGACGTGCAAAGTCTGACAGGAGCACACCAGTGCAAAACATAAATACAATGACACATTTCAATGTCTGGACAGAAAACGCCAGACTTGATAGAGATGTGAAAACGACACTGATTTAATAAAGCTCGCACTTTACGTATTTCACTTAAGTGACTTTGCCATTATGATATTAAATTGAAATTTAATAAAGTTGTGAAAAAGTGTGTGTTACTATAGGGCACTATGCGGCTGTTACTTACAGACAATACCATATCGTATATGTTGTGGAACACCTTCATCACCATCTACCGCAAAAACTTCCATCACTGATGTATTCTGTCAATAATTTAATGGATGCATGGAAAGAATTAACCATGAAGAAAGCCAATTCAGCATCCAGCATATGTAGACACTATATATGAAATCATCACAAGTATTAGATAAATCTGCTATTAATACTTTCAATTTCCTCAACATAGGTAACTGAGTATAAAAGATTTATGTCTGTCCCGTCAAAACTAAGATTTTAATCATCATCTACATAGTTTAATCGCCACCTCGCTTAATGCATTACGCAAACTGAATAACAAAATTAATCATTTACTAGTGTTATAAATACATACCACTGGTTGATTTTCTGGGACATCCGCATAATATGGCAGACCAATAAACTTAGGTGGCATGTCTTGAACATCTTTCACATTAACATAAAGTGTAGCACTACTGTTTAGTGGGCCTGGGTCTGTACCAAAATCCTGTATTTAAAGTTATTAAAGTATCAGTGATGCGTATTAGGCAATTGTTGTTCACATGTTTCATACATATTCTTACTTACCCGTAAATCAAAAATCACTTTATGCACTCACCACAGCAAATAGGTTCAGTGTATACACTCTCAGAGATTCAAAATCCAAAGTTTCAGTGAGATAAATTTCAGCAAGTGATGTTTTATCCTCTACCACCGATGAGTCGATATAAAACATGTCACCGTAGTCCTACAAAGTGTCAGTTAAATAAATAGATTACTTAAATTGTTCGTAAACAAACATTTCAGTAGCGAATGTGGGACCTTAACTGGTCACAAATGCTGCACAAAATAATGAGGTTATTTCGGGGATACCGTAAAACATGCAATCAGACAGTAGGTCGAGATAACAGCATTCTTTTGGACGATATTCCCGTCTTACTATCTGGCCTTCTTATAACTTCAGTACTATACATCTTCTCGATCCTACTTTTGAATGTAGAACCCCAAGCAAGACAAAGAAATTTACCAATTGAATATGAACAGATAATCCAATGAACACTATAACACAGAGAGGTATGATGATGTGTGTATATTAATAATTGGTATCACTTACATCTAAATTTGTAATAGTAATTGTACAACCTCCACTGCTACCTACATCGTTGTCAAATACAATGACGGAATATATCACAGTCCCTTCTGATGTATCCTGTTTAATTTGAGAAATAACTGGGAGAATTGAAACATATAACGATCCAAATACAGGTTTATGGTGCCGTGCAATGTGTACGTCACAGCAATTTTGAAAGCAAGTAAAAAAGTATTATTGTTTGTATTGTTGCAATTAGTTGGTTTCCGTATATAGATACATGTATATGCTGTCCCTCATTTCCGATCCCGTTATAACATAGTAGTGGGGAATTTGTGCCAGAAACACCGAAAAAAATTGTAGGTTTACACATTAACCCACAGTTTTGGTCAGTTTCAAGTGTATCGCTCGAGGGCGCTAGAGCTGTTTGATGTTGTTGGTTAGAATCCCTTCCTTCGCAAATATTTTCAATGTTGAGTGTGTTCCACTGGTTCACGTAAGCACGAGTTGTATAATTGTGGACTGGTCATTTTCTTTGACTCGGGATGCCGGGGTTTTCGATTTCGCAAAATTAGGAAAGGACTTTGTCCCCCTCCTCTCAATACAAAAAAAAAACAGGGTGACCCCCTCCCATCATAACATGTGAAAATAAGCGACCTTCAAAGACCTGTCGATTTATGTTATCAACTACTTAGTTTACTATACATAAAATTAATTAAAATTTTTGGCTTGTCTATAAGTTCCTGTTCTCCTCTTTGATCAGGGGATATAGACATCCTGAATTGTCTCAGTTTCTTTATCTTCAGAATCATTACTCCAAATTTCCTGAACAACAATGATATCAATCTCTGAATCATTCTCTGTAGAATCTATTGTATATCTATCGATGGTCTGCGATTTCTGAATGAGCGCCACTACTTTTGTTGCATGTGACAGCTCTAACTGTGTATTCTTTTCTACACATGGAAATAAATAACTGCCGTCTTCCCAGGTTATGAAAAAAGACATGCCTTCCTATTCAATGTCAAATAGCCCCCCCCCCCTCCCCGTTTCACCTGGCACTATTTATTCCTTACCTCGAATACATCTGCTAGATAAGGAGCGCCAACGAATATCGGTGAATTGTCATTGACATTAACAATGTACACAGTGATATCAGTCTCCTACAAACAGAAACAAACGTTATGACGAGATTATACCAAAAAGGAACCCTAATAAGGATGTGATTAAGGTATTAGTATACTATCTGAATGCCTTATTCTCATGCTAGAGATAAAGCACGGCGTTAAAATTACTATTGGTTATATTAAAAAATGCGTTACAAGTAAGTGAGCTTAATTGTGTGTGAGTGATTACAAGATAGCAGTAGCATGGTTGGACTTTTTTAATATTCTAAATATAGGGTAAGATTATTGACAAAATTAACTATGTTATAGTTATTTGTAATACTGTGTTATCATCATACAATTATTGAAAGTGACTTGTTGCAAAGTTCGGTTGTGACAATGTCATCCTCGACACGTGATGATGGGTGGAAAAACAACTTTTCCGGTGCATATCATTCGTCAGATTCAGCCAGAACCACCAAAGGCGAAATGAGTAGACATTTTGGAAGATAGCGGATTTATGGTCACCCTGTCATCTTCAAGCACCCAAAGTTGCGATAGGAATAGGCGACGTGCAGTTGGTCATGGTCAGGACGACATCAAGGACAAGGTATCCAACAATCGTCCAATATCACTGGCGGTTCCAGCAATTCGGTAAAGGGGTGCGCTCCTATTGACGTGGTATTCGGCGGAAGCCACGTCCGCCTCCATAGGCTTGGTTTTTCATTTGATTTGTCAATTCTTTTGTAGACTTTAGGGGATCCGTGCGTGAATATGGTCGCATAGATGGATATCCCCAGCCTTTACTCAACATAATTACTTACCTTTTTCACAAACATATTGACCATTGGCTGGAAATAGTCAAAAAATTGTTCTAATAATAATACGTTTGAAAAAAGTGTTAAAGAAAAATTTGATATAAACAACTTACACCCACACTAAGAAAGCCCCCTACATTATATATTGTCAAATTAGGAGCAGAAAGCAGGAGTATGAAATGTAATGCTTGTGGAGTAACCTAGTGTGTACGTTTACGATCTTTGTAGGAAATTTGAGATGCAACGTTTTCTTAATGACACAACTAACAACAATAACAACAACAACAACAACAACAACAACATACCAATGAGTAAATATCATGTCAACACTTGCTGCGATTGGAAAGAAATGACCAGATACCATCACTGCGACGCGGGATAATTCCAACAAGACATGGCAAGTGATCAATGAAATGTTGAATAAATCCTCCACTAAATTTACTCTACGTACCATAATGTGTAATCTACCAGAGGAATCTAGTCTGATTATACTATAGCAGAAGAATTAATTTTCTAAAGTCGACCCCAAACTACATGCCAAAATTAATACACTTAGTAACTTCAACAACTACCTTGGACTAATTGACGAACAATTGACGATGTTCTCAATGTACTGGATACCATAATTCTATTTTGTGACCAATCTTATAAATTTTTAATATAGATCCACTCAATCCTTTAAGGCAATTTCACCAACGCTTTCGATTTTTTGAAGACGAAACTAGCTTTTTCAAATTCCTGCAAAGTAATATTATTAAAATCACCAATAATGACCTTTATTTCCTAAGGGTTCATGAAATATAATAATAACAGGTTTATAAATTACGCCGAAAAACAAACATCGTAGTCATGAGAACTCTCTAGAGTCATGCAGTATCCCATTCAATTTATATAGAAGGCGTAAGATCAGTTAAGAACTCGAACGTTTCTCGCTCAACAAACCGGGAAAATTTTTAAACTTTGCTATTTTGTACCAAAACCAATATATTACCTATTATGAAAATCATTTATTCTACCACATATAAATCTGGGGCCATACATATAAAGCTAACCAATCCTACAGTGAACCTATTGTATAGTGAAAACGCTAACTTCCATTTTTAATTTTTTGATCTGAAAAAAACATGTGCAACACGTGTCGGTAGAAGTGAGAATTTCTCAACAAAGTAAATTTTACATTAAAGCACCACAATGTTGAATACTATCTATTTATGTTTTGTTTATGGTGAAACAAAAAATACATACAATGCATTCTTATTAATATGTACATAACAAAACTGTATACATACTGGCTCGTTGTGACCATCATCCAAGGTCCATGTGGCTGAGACGCTGGTACTAGTCTGCAACCACAAACAGTACAATAATGATATACGTGTAACTGCACAGTTTTTATACATCACATGAATATAGGAAATAAATTGAAATTGAAGATGTGAACTGGGGTACAAATAAATGATCTATTGCATGGAGTATGTGGTATTTCATTGGTTCTGATTAGTCTGGTGATCTTGTTTGCTAGAAAAATTACGCATTTTTAAAATTCAAGGCTCGTGTCTAGATATAAAACATATTATTCCTTATCTGAAGCTTATTTTTCGCATAAATGGCTTTTTCTATATATGTTACATATGAATGTCTATGAGCCAAGCTCAAAACTACAGATAAACATATGCCTATGCTCACAAATTTTATCTTTTTAGTTGTTGATCAAAACTACTGTAAGGCGTAAATATTGTTTTGCATTCGCACTGTGTTTCAAAGAGCTTTTAAAAAGAAGATTTAAAAACAAATTACATAATTATATATAACATTCCTCATAATCAAATTCATTTATTAGCTTTACTTCAGCGTGCGTACAATTGTGGTTGCTCACGTCAAAGTACTCTGAACCGTCTTGAACACCAAATGTTATACAGTCATCCTCAGGATCAGATGCAATTAGGGTATAAATAATACTGCCTAAAACAAGATTGATATCAATGAATGAATTATTTAAATTGTGTAGAAACAATGTAATTTACAGTATGCATGCAGAAAATATGATTATAACTATACATTTTATGTACGCAAGTACTTGAATATTTTATCATTGCATCTGGAAACTGGTTGAGACCAATGATCACAACATGAATATTGGTACATGGTCCTCGGTTGTTAAACTATGGTGATACTGTCACGATACTGATATGATTTCATGTGACCCGAAACGGTAAATACACTAATTTATCTCATGAGTTGATAGAAGGAGTTGGTCATATGCCTTTAGATTCACTTTGCTTTGACATTTATATCCCGTCAATGTACATACATATCTCATTCATTTAATGTGCCATTTATAAAGTTGAATTTTGTTTGTGATAGTCCACAATTTAACAAAACAAATTTTGACATTGACAAGAAGACAAGACTGAATGTTTCCTAAGACAAATCAAGTGCATCATTTCATTTTCATTTATGTTTTCTTTTCTTTATATTTTCGTGATTTGTAGTAATCATGAAAAATTTAATTCATTTGAATATAGGTAAACTACTAGTAATTAATGTCTTGATATCAATTAATTAATCTTGATTACCTTAGCGTGATAAAATATGATACTTTATGCATTTTTTCAAACATACCAAGATTAATGTCTTCCCGAAATCTTTCTCGGTCCATATCATAATATTTTGTTGGTCTTGATCCAGGTATTTCTTCAAATGACGGTGGAGAATTAGCAGAAACTTTTGAAAAAAATATGAACAATATATTACGAAGCTAAACAGCTCCCGAAAGAGATGACAATCTGCGGCAGATTTCTTCAATATCAAAAGACAGAGCCACAGTTTAGGCCTTATGGTTGCATAGTTGCATATGGGAACGTTTTTGGTGACCTCATGACACTGTCGTTTAACCCTGAAATCTGTGAGTGGCATAGAGAATATGTGTGTAAAATGTGAAGGCAGTTTCCCTACGGAGATATATATGACATACATACATTATGTTATTAATTGAACCTTGTCTTGAAATCAAAATTTATTCAGTGAGATCATGTGGGTTACATAAGAAAAGAAATTGTTCCAAGTTTGAAAGCCCTATCAATTCCCCTCTCAGCTTAATACACAGGCACACATAAACAAGTGCTGTTATCTTGACATTGCAACCCTTGTTTTAACACAGATATTATAGACAACTCTTTTGAGACGCATGAGATGATATTGCTTTTATCAGTCACGTGGAGAACATGCCAAGTTTGAATGCCCTAGCTTTTTCCCCGTTGTTGTTAACATGCAAAAACCGATGAACTGAACCGTGATTTAACATTTGACATGAAATGTGGACAGGGATTGCAAGTGTTGCACATGTGTGCCGAGTGCAAAAATCACTGCTATGTTTTTATATTGTATAGTACAAAAACACAAGAAAACATGTGGTGACCTTAACCTTTTGCCCTACATAATACAAGATCTTGTGAAATATTTAGAAGACACGTATGTCAAATTTGAGCGACACTATTTTGTTTACTTTGAGTTATAGTGCTACCATACAGACACACGCACACACTCACCCGCATACGTATCCATTTATATAATACCATAATAAATTACAAACCTAATCCATCCAATGGAAGAACTACCACTAGTACCATGAAATGTAGATATCTTGAAAGTGACTTCATCTTTCTCAGACATGTACTGACAAATGTACTGATCTAAAAAATATTGCACTGTATAAATATATCCATGTGACAGTTCAATCATTACATATGTTATTGAGTGTACAATACGTTGTGGCCGATCTGTGTTGATGGCTATTGGAATCACAGTGACTGGCGGATGGAAGTAGATTTGACGTCACCAAGTTTGAAATTGCAGCACATTTCGTTTAATTTGTACAGGGTTAGGAGTTAGCATTGTGAGCTAGGATTTTTACCTGTGCCAATATCGTCAGACTGCATTACGCATCAAAGGTACCCGACAAACACGTATGCTCTCCACAGAGGGAAATCAATAACTGCCTTAAAGGACGGTGGTCGCCGCGCCAGCCATGGGCGGGATATGAGCCTCATGCAACAAATATTGTGACTTTGACTGTTGTTCAGACCAACCGACCGAGTACAAACTGAGCTTTAACTTGAATTTGAACAGAGGAGCGCATTGGATAGTGGAAAAATTAATGTTTGTCGACACAAATGTCGTACATGTGCGGCGCGACGACCGCCGCCTTTGCAAATTGGCAGCCGAAATCAGTATACTAATCGGAGCTAAGTAGCAGCATGGATGGATCATCCAAGGAGTATGCTAGTTACGATGTTTGGAGACCAAAATCTGACTCTAATCACATTTCGATAGATCAATGAATATATGCACTAACAATTATGCAGTGTATAATGACACTGTTCAAAATGACACGCAGTTTGAGTAACTAAAATGTTAATTTCATATTCGTTGTTTAAATAATTGGTTACAAACAACAACAAAAATTTCGTTTTTCTATCATTGGTAACATAGGCATAACAATGCGTTAAAGGACTGGTATTGGCCATACGATTATCAAATCTTTGAATGTGTTTCTTTTTTATGTACTTCTGCAAAGTTTGTACATATGGCAAATATAATACAGCGCACCAGTGTTGAAGTCAATAAAATATACGTGCTGTACTTGTCACAAAAACTAGTTATTACTACAAGAAAATAAATTTACCATACTCGTCGTTCATAAAAATGTGTTTCCCTTCCCTTAGCAAAATAATATAGAATGCTTTGAACATATAATCTACAATGAACCGTTTAATTTTCGCCACTGTCAGTTTCCGCTTAATATGATAAATGGGGATAACACTGACTGTTGACACATGGTTTTGTTGATTCGCGAAAATAAAGCAATTTACTTATATTTCATGCTGGGGTTTACTTTTTTACACTCAAAAGGGATGTAAATATTCGTATTTCATTTGAATAATAATAAATGTACTTCACAGGCTATCAATGATTTATATGCGCATTTTGTAGAAGACAAATATGTATGCATTATTTCATGGAAGAAATTTATGCAGCTATTTAAAAAAATATAACATGATGAGTATAACAACGTGTACCATAATCATCATGATGATGTCCGTTGAAATCGAAAGTGGGCACACAGAAATCGTACTATCTTGTAGCTCACCCTAGCCCTAGCTGGACGACCAGTTATGCGAGTTCGTCCATATACACTATTCAAACTACTATATATATTCATTAGCATCTGTTGAGGTCAATAAGATGACTCCGACTATTTGAAAATTTAACATGAGCTGATCTGTCACAAAAATAAACGTGGCATTGTTACCATCACAATAAAGGATTGGCAAATAGAGTTACGTTACTGTTCAAGGAGTTATTATAATTTTTGAATATTATTATTTACATATTTTATTTGCTTAATGTAGTGGTTAAAATCTAAACAATACAAGTCATGACTGGAACATATGATATAGCTGTTAACCGTAACAACGATTTACAGATTACAGATTTTGTTTTACGTATATTTTCCATCATTGGCCGAAGGTCAACAAATTATCTGATTATTCAGTTTCTATCAGATCACCATGCGTTATGAGCTCAACCAATTGTTGTACGAAATCGCCGTTATGTAGCGACTAAAGTCCCAGCAAGCAAATGCAGTGCGCGTTGGGCTTCGTTTCTCGCAAAACAATGTGCAGAATTTTGCTAAAATCACCAAGCATCAATCAACTCTACTGTGAAAATGGGTCTAAGCAGCAGCGCATACCTATATACTTCAACTATAGGAGTATACCTCACGACATCCCCATCTACATGTTCACAAGGAAGTGAATATTATGACGTTAGCGTTAGTTATGATTAAACAACTATTAGTATTTAAACTTACAGTACCTTTAACACCAGTCAATTCTAGTAATCAAAGCGCGTAAAAATTGAAAAAGTCACAACACGTCGGCGCCTAGTCAGAGCAATGTATGGCGTAGTCAAAGTAATAAACTGAGTGTCCTAACACTCCTTCCGGAAAGCTTGTTCTATTTTTCAGACAGGGGTCACAGTGTGAAACCCCGGGTTCGAGCAGAGAAGCGACCCACCGAGCTACTTATTAATTTAAGGCGAGAAGGAATACCGCAGTTTCTACCCTCATCTCATAACAAAATTGTGTCGCCCATTTCAGCAGCACTTGTGCATATCACACATCATATGTTTTGATTAACGTAACTGCAAACATGTACTTACACGTTGTATCTATTAGGTTAGAATCATTTAGTTCTATCGGAAACATAAATCCTAAAAATTATGTGCTAGAGCTAGACTTCACAAGCGGATTCTGATAGTGATTTCTTTAGCCAATCACAATTAGTTAATTCTGACCAATCATGTCCAAGGCTACTGATAATTACTGACCAATCCCACATGGGATTAATTTCCGCGCCTTTTACCGAAGGTCAAATATAAGTCTATATAAAGACAAAGCAAATGTATGTTTTTCAGTAGTCTTTGTTCCCGTCATCAATAAACGTTGCTGCTCTGTACTACGTAATTGGTTGTGTCTTTGCATAGTCGTCTGTTGCCGAACCGTCCCCTAAAATACAGTTTTTCTTGTACGCTGCATTTCTTGGTGCCGAGACCAGGATTCCAAGATGACATCTCCACAGCCAACTCCTTCGCCATCGCTATCCAAGCTACGCGCGACCCGTTCAGCACATCGTGGGCAGATGACCAAAGTACTCAAACGTGTCGATGAAACCGTCACAGCGTTTCCCTTAGACCCCAGCGTCGACGACCT